GTCCTTGTTGTACCCATTAAGGCCGAGCGCCAGGCAGGAACCAACAAGTACCATATTTTAACGTCTTTTGGTATGACGCGGTCGGGGATCGAACCCGCGACCTTCCGCTCTCCGGGCGGACGCTCTAACGACTACACCACGGAGGCGGTCTCGAACCAGGATGGGTCAAGGATATAAATGACTGCTTTTGTGAAAAATGTCAGCTCCGTTATCAAACGCACTGTCCCTATCATTGAGTTGCTAGTTGCCTACTGCTCTGTTGTTCAATGTTCAGAGTTATCTCCCGAAGAGTGCCAGGATCCGGAGATCATGCGATTCGTTTGCCCCTCAAACACACTCTCACACTTGCCATGAAGGTACCTATTGCATTGAGGTCGAAAAATGATCAAACAGCGTTATGAAGAGTTGTCTCTTCTTGACATAGTCCTAAAGCCTTGATTCAGATAACGAACGGCTGTAGTTCGCAAAAACACACGTTGTCGTGGCTATACCAGATACTCCACAGTGCAGTACGGTATATACTTATTATTCAATTATTAATGGACAGATATTCTACCACGATATTCATTTATACAATGACGTGAAGTCAAATATGTAAGCCACATGCTACATCCTCAGTCCTGAATAACATCTGAATTTTCAAAAGCGTTAAATATCCGGTACTGGCGCATCTGACAGAAATGAACAGCTTTGGACGCCCCGGCAGGTGTGTTTGTTGTAAGCAGATCTGTCTTAGCAGCGGACCCATCACAAGAACAGCTACATCTATTGATCAAAGGAGTTAACATTTCGTTTCATACTTTAAGTAACAGGCAGCACTGTGAAAATATATTCTTTCAATATTTTGTACAATTCCGACTACATCACTGAAACTAGTACAGTACAACCCGAAATTATTGAGAATTTAAAGATTGTAATTTTTTAAATTTGTTTCACTCATTACTCACGTATTAAATGTGAATATTAGCAGAACATAACTCCAGATTCAAAAGCAGGTGAACAGTTAGTATTTTCTAAGTCACCATGGGCAGCAATGCTGGCTTCAATGCGGCGCGGCATACTACTGATCAAAGAAGTTAGAAAGTCGTGGTCCATGCTGTCCCAATATCGGACCACCTCTTCTTTCATTTCAGCAATATTTGTCAGATTTTTCTTATTGACACTTTTCTTCATATCGCACTTTAGCTGATCTGATGTCCTTGTTATATTACTCTAAAATCAACTTCCTCTTCTCTAAATCATCCATACTGAGGACCACTGAAGATGCCGTCTGCTAGCAAGTAAACAAAGGAGGATAACTCTTCACAAACTAATGAAAAAGGATTAACGGAGTTGTCTCTCTTGAATGAAACCAACAACTTGATAGATGGTCAAGGTTGTTTATACTAGAAATCCAATTAAACATATTCCTAAAATTCTCAATAATTTCTGGTCATACCATATATTTTTAAATTTCAAAACAAAAACACGCAACTTTTCACATTAGTCAAATGTGTTTAGAGGCCTGTATTTCAATATAATTTTATTACCAAAATATAATTATAATCACAACTTGAATTCGTCCGTATTTCCTTACTGTATGGCGTGTTTAGGCCTAAAGATGCTCATGCATTGAATCTCCCGTAAATCTGAGTGTGTAGGGTCCATACAAGTAGACATATGGGATTTTGTGTGTGTGAAGTGAGATCATAAATAATTTGTGTTTGAGGTATGTTTTAAACCATGTTCAGACAAAACATGCCAAATCGTTAGTCCCTTTAAGATTAAGCAACAATCATCAGTGAGTGAGTTGGGTTTTACGCCGTTCCTAGCTTCACACACTGCACCCATGTGGAGCAACAATCGCGAGCATGGTAACAACTCAACATGTCCAGCATGTAATACTAGCACAATTCTTACAGTGTAAAATAGTGAGTGAGTTTCGTTTTACGCCGAAAATAATCGAGTCTGGACCACACAAGCCAGTGATCAACAGCATGAGCATCGATCTGCGCAATTGGGAACCGATGACATGTGTCAACCAAACCAGCGAGCCTGACCACCCGATCCCGTTAGCCGCCTCTTACGACAAGAATGGGTTACTGAAGGCTCATTCTAACCCGGACCTTCACGGGTACAGTGTCAAATATGGTACGGAGACTGGGAAACAAGGTGAGTCTGGTTGACGGGAAAGTAAAGAGAGTTAATCGTAGTGTCTTTAAATCAATACACTCAGTGTAATTGATCGGATAAGAACACGTACATAAAAGGTTCGATGAAGTCCTTTACTTCAGTTTTTGGCTACTTATTATACTGATAAAGATAAACATCTCGACGTTTTGTTTCTTGCTTACTGTTTACATCTTCTCACCAGATGACTATTATGCGGGTTAGAATTGGCCATGTTGTAAGAGGCTAACCTTGAACATTAACGGTTCCATATTCTTGTAATGGTGCTTGGCGACACGTGAAAAAAACCTGGCTATGGCCGGAGCAGAGTCGCCTGTCTAAAGTAAACCAACTTCCGACAGTCGTGGCTTATTTTCAATTTCATTTGTACAGTTGTGATGACAGACAAATGAAAACCAATCGTTTCATAGCCAAGCAATTCATGTTGCACGTTCATTCCATGTTGGTGTGTTTGGCCGCCACACACTCACGTGGTTGCGTTTGTGCGTTTCCCCCACTTTTACGGTATTTCTCGGCCGTATTATACCCGAACCAATCACTCGCGATGCATGCAGACATAAAAACTTCATATTTTGTTGTAATTTCTATGAATATCATCAAAACGTAATTATTTCCAATTTTGTTTCTACTCATGCGTTTCGTTTTTGCAGAGTATATATTTAAGGAAAGTTCGACCAAATTTGTTTCTACTATGCGTTTCTTTTTTTTTGCAGAGTATATGTTTAAGGAAAGTTCGACCACTTCTGCCCAATAAATTAATTTTTGAAGAGTCTGTGTGTTTATGTTTAACTCAAACATTGCACGCACGCAGGCACGCACACACGCACACATACATACACCTCTCGCCATCATCCCGCCTTCCGCATCTTGACAAGACGTAAACAAGAAGAACATGGGCAAAGTTATATATTGCCTCACACACGCGAGGGGGAAATCTAGCGTGTGAAGAAGCAGACCAAGGTGAATCAAGTGATTGGATCGCTCGTTCACGCATGAAACACGGAAATAATGGAAGATTTCAGTAGAGAAGACTCACCAGGGAAAATCTTCACCTCATTATTTGCGATTATGTCTGGTCAAATGTAAGAAAAAAACCCAAACAAGGTCGGGATTCGCGATACGTTTGTTTCGTGATCGAATATCAGATTCGGCGGTTCTTCCCAAACGTCGTTTGTTTACACATGCAAAGAGCGGATTTGGACCTCACAATACAGAAATTGACAATTATTTGACTTATCGATCAATATTGCTCAGGGTCGACATCGACTTCTGGACTCAAGGCGGAGACCCTTCTTTATGACTACAGTTTAATAATTTCCAGTAGCTGTTATAATTTGTTTGGATGCATTTTATTTATTTGCCTTGCCTAATAAAATGTCATGCATTATTTACACGTTAATATGTTACTATTAATAATTGTCCAGTCTAACAAACCTCGTTAATTAGGACAATAGTCCCCCGATAGTATATATGGTAGATGCATATGCAGCAAAACTGTTTTTCAATGTAGATTTCTGTTATCTGAGATTTAACTCCCGAAATTGAATTTTGGAACCGAGCGTTGTTCAACTCTAAGTTTGATATCTCACATTTCAATTTAGAACCGGGGTCTTTAGCTCGAGGTATCAAATATATCAAATAGAGGTGTCCTATCTACAGGGAGATTACCTCAAATATAAAAAGCCCAAACAAACGCGACAGGTGTATATCCTTGCTATCATGTCGATAGGAACTCTTTAAAATGGTACTCTGTTGGAACAAGAAAATAAAAACAGGTAAAAATGTGTCGGAGTGAGTGAGTGAATAATGAATGCTTTATGCCGCATTACCAGTTTTGCAGCTATTCGTGGTCAGCTATCTTTTAACATTGACACACATGATATCATTAAAGGTATGGGAAAAAACTTTTCAGATAATAATTAGTCTAGTTCAAAATAAATCAAATTTGTAATAGTATGTCTTGTTTAAAATAGCAAATGAGATGCATTAGTCACATGAAATCACAATTCAGGATGGATTAATTTCATCGCAACCTGTTGCATGCAATGCAGTGCTTGGATCCAGCCAAGTCATTTTTTTAAATCAGCCACTGTAGGTATCAACGGTACTCAAGTCTAAGATAACATTAATTGTATTATGGACACGTTTAAGATCGGTTAAAATTTGTGAGGTATTTGAATCAAAACGAAATAATGTAGAAACAATCCTAATATATGCTTATTTCCATGCAACCTGTTGCATGTAATGCGCTACATGGCCTCAAACAAGATATTTCTTAGAAATCAATATGACATCCGCCATTGTAGGGTTGACAGGTTGTAGAAATAGCTATTATATGATGTGATTTTTAATTAAAGAAAAAGATTTGGCCTGAACATGATTTATTATTTACGGTTCATAGCTAACAAAGTTACGTTCAGTATCCCGAGAAGGACAATCCCATCTGTACCTGACGAGGACGTTCTGTTTGTTTGTTGTTTTACGCCGCACTCAGCGACATCCCAGCTATATGGCGGCGGTCTGTAAATAATCCAGTCTGGACCAGACAATCCAGTGATCAACATCATGAGCAGCGATCTATGCAATTGGGATACGATGACAACGAGCCTGACCACCTGATCATGTTTGTCGTCTCTTACGACAGCATGGCTTACTGAAGATCAATTCAAACTCGGATCTTCACGGGTAAGACAAAGACGTACTACAGCATGTTGATACAACCACTGACAAAGGGACCACCCGGAAGTACGCCTCAACATGACCGATTTTCGCTGAAAACGAGGCGAAACGGCCCTCTGCAGCATGAGAAAGCGCTTATTTTTGTGATATATTTGTGATACAGTGCTGTATGCGTACGTGTAGTCTGAAATAGATTTCACCAGGTTTGATCAGCTGTTGCTGTTTCTGAAAACATCTTATACTGTTCCGACATCCAGGTTTAGACTTGAAATACATGGGTGTAAGTTGTAGACAAGCATTGATATTGCATTGATGTAAGGGCTAGCGACATATCGATATATTCACACGCAGTTTACCTGAAACTGCGAGTGGATACAGTTAATTTGCTCTTTGATGTCCGACAGTTAATTTTGAGGTATTTAATCAAATTAGACATGTTTTTCTATTGTTATCTTGACACATTCAATCAAGCAATCTTCAATTCCTTGGTAAAATGCTATGTATGTTTTGTTTGGCTGATCCGGAAAGTTTCTAATCCGGAAGATTATACAAATTCTCTTTTCGGATTCCGTTGTATTTTGTGTATACATTTTGCAGAAGCAATTAACTAATGCAGTTATTTTCCATGGACTATTTGCAAGTAAAACGTTGACAAAAGCCTCCTTCCGTAAATGGAATAGAACCTAATGGCTGATGAGGTGGGACAAAACAAATTATATGTGAGGTTTTTCTAGCCAACGACATTATAGTAATTACAAGGTTTGTCCCGAGAGGTCTGGCATTATCAAAGGGACACATATCGGGTCGATATTAGTCGCTCTTGCATAAAATATATTGTGACATAAATTCGATGAAATAACCGAAAAAATTCTGCTGAAAGTGTATCCTCCACATGGACCGTGAACATGTACAGGTGGAGCGTTTAAGTTACTGGTCAAGTCCCGTTTCACAAAGTGCGAGTGAGTCAGTTGGGGTTTTCGCCGCTGTTTGCAATATTCCAGCAATATCACGGTTAGGGACACCAGAAATGGGCTTCACACATTGTACTCATGTGGGGAATCGAACCCGGGTCTCCAGCGTCACGAGCGACCGCCTTAACCACTAGGCTACCCTACTGTCCCTTCCCAAAGCGATCTTAGCGCCAGGACGACCGTAGCGCATTTCGAATCTGTTTTGGTCGATGAACGGAACAGGTCTTCCACATTGCTGGAATATTGCTGAGTGCGGCGTAAAAATAAACTCGCTCACTTTAAGACTTTCATCACTTCAAGTGTTCCTTACACATCAAACCGACACGACGCAATGCACATTTTCTATTAAAACGGCTTTAAAACATACAATCACACTCACTTCTGAAGAAATACACACACATTCAAAACTGTTTAGTACATCTTGTCTGTTCACGCACTGAAACGTCTCCTAATTGTTATAACATCCAATACACAAAGACCACATTTCAAAAACCACGTGTTTACTCAATTTAAATACCTCAGAGCAACCTAAACAAACAAGTCTCCTGAATACGACGAAACCTTTTTAGTTACTTATATCCAATTACATAACCAGCGAAGAATGGTGAACTTAAAGAACGTGAATCGAAGCCATCAACAATTTCTTTGAGGGTGAAAACCTTAACCCAACCTCTGTTCCTTTGAATTAGGTTATAACTCATCCCAGATGTTAAAGCTAGATTCTCTCATCACAAGCCACGCTCAGCAACAAAACTTTCATCAAAACAGTCGGGCATCAAAAGAACAGGAGGAGGTCATGCTGTGAGAGCATTCGTGTCATCGTGTTCTAACCTCAATGCTCAATGAAAAACTGGGATGAAATGTTTGGAACGTTTGAACGGTTCCAAGCTTTCCTGAAATACATTTAAAGATAATATACAAATGGAAAACGGATTATTATTATCAATATATCATTTCCATTCCACCAGAATAATTGCTCTCACGGGGATACTCAAAGATAAACAAAGTTATCGTTTCCAGCAAAATACAATGTCAACGTTTCAAAGCTTTTTGGTGCCACTTGATTTAACGGTAACATATAAATTGAAAAGATTTTTTGCTCTTAGCAATATTCCAGACAGTTTCATGGGGATTAGAGCACGGGTAAATATCTGGCAAATAAACACTTTAGTTACCTAAGTTCGACTTAAGTTCTAAGATTGCCATAAACAGGAACAAAGAAACGTTTGTCTGGTCAGGTGACCAAGAAGACGGCAGAGGTCCTTCAGTGGTTGAAGCGTGCGCTCATCACACCAAAGTCCCAGGTTCGATTCCCAACAATGGCACAATATGTAAATCTAATTGCTGGTGTTCCCCAACCTTGGTGTTCCTGGAAATATTGCCCAAAGCGGCCTAAAACTCACTCCCTCAGTGACAATGCATCCATCCTATTTTACCAGCAATACATACGTTCCCGTGACATACCGCAACGAGCGATGTTAATTGAAATGACTTTAAGTCAACTGTTAAAAAATGCAATCCACAGCTTGGGAACAAAAGTAAACATTAACACTCAAATGGAACTGGAATTTAACGAAATGCAAGCGATCAATAGAAAAATCAAATGGAATTGGAATTTAGCGAAATGCAAGTGAAACACTGACAAAAAAACATTGATGACATCTGTTCAAAGAATAAATCA